GGTGTGTGTGTGTGTGTGTGTGTGTGTGTAAGAGAAATATATGTAGTAAACATGAGGAAAAATAGATAGAAGCAGCTTCCTTCTTGGAGAAAAACAGGGGCCAGATTCACGAAAGCACTTACGCAAGCACTTACGAACCTGTACATCTTTTCTCAATCTTTGGCGGCTATGTTTCCAATTATTAAACAATTAATGAGCTCCGAAGCACCAGGAGGCTGTTAATAACAATAACAACAGTTGATTGGCAAGTTTTCATGCTTGTAAACTGTTTAATAAATGTAACCACAGCCGTCAAAGATTGAGGAAAGATGTACACGTTCGTAAGTGCTTGCGTAACTGCTTTCGTGAATCTGGCCCCTTGGTGGACAGGAGGAGGTACCTTATTGGACAGAAGCAACTCTCACGGACGGATGGTCAGAGGCCAATATTGAATCGTCTGTGCTTTCTGCCTATTAGATAGTTGGGGAGCTGGGGGGGGGGGTTCCCCCTGGTCGTATATTGCTTACATTACCACCTGCGCTGCTGAGGTCATTTGGGGGTAGTTAGTGTGGCGTATTGTCACTCTGGAGTGGTGGTGGTGGTGGTTGTGTGTGGTAGTGGTGTATGTGGTGGTGGTTGTGTGTGTGTGGTTGTGGTGGTTGTGTGTGGTGGTAGTATGTGTGTAGGTGGTGTGTGTGTGTGGTAGTGGTGTGTGGTTGTGTGTGTGTTGGTGGTGTGTGGTGGTAGTGGTGGTGGTTGTTGTGTGTGGTAGTGGTGTGTGGTGGTGGTGGTATGTGTGGGTGGTGGTAGTTCTGTGTGTGTGGTTCTGTGTGTGTGGTGGTTGTGTGTGGTAGTGTGTGTGTGGTAGTAGTGGTGGTAGTGGTGGTGTGTGGTGGTGTGTGTGGGTGGTGTGTGTAGTGGTAGAAGTGGTGGTAGTGGTGGTGTGTGGTGGTAGTTGTGGTAGTGGTGGTGGTTGTGGTGGTGTGTGTAAGTGGTGGCGTGTGGTGGTAGTGGTGGTGTGTGTGTCAATTGTAGTGGCAAATTGGAGATGACTCTGCTTGTTTCATAAGTGTTAAATGGTGCATTTAAGAATGGGCCAGTAGCCTCTAAGTACTTAACTGCAGTAACCAGAGGTTCCTCTAAGTGATTCCCTGAAAGCTCGGTAATTACCACACTAACAAGGGTATTCGGTACGTTGACAAGTGACCTTAACTACTCTGTATACTGGATTCTTTAAATGCAAAAAAAAAAATGCTGTACAAAACCAATTCGTTCCATAGACCTTGTTCAAGAATGTGGTTCGGATATGTTCTGTTAATACGCCTTAATTGGCTTGTCCCAGCGAAACGACTTCGTTATGCTTGGGTAACGAGGTTGTTGGCCTTTTTTCTCGCTATGTGGAGCGTTTAAATGAATTCAGGATGTTTTAGGCCTAGATTAGGCTAGGGAAGGCCTAAATTAAGTTCGGTTAGATTATTATTTCCGTTTTCTCCTTTAAAATTTGGAATTCTCATATTCACGTAAGCATCTTATGCTTCTAAATATGTTCCAAAAGTGAGTTTTCAATACTCACTAATGCGTGATTGGGTTATGAACGCACGCACGCACACACACACACACACACACACACACACACACACACACAACACACACACACCACACACACACCCACCACACACACACACACACACACACACGCAACACACAGCACACACCGCACACACACACCACACACGCACTCGCACTCTAGCTTCCCAGTTCGAGATTCTGAGGCTTCGGAGACTCGAAATCATGAGCTTTTGCGAGACCTGGACTTCAAGAACTTACATCCGGGGCTTCGTTACAAGTTGACGTCGTGTTTGGCTTCCCTTGTTAATACCAGCCCTAGTTCGGAGACTCTAAGTTCCCGTTTGATAACTCGAATCTTGTGATGGACTTTGAACAACTTTATCTCAAAGTTTCATTGACGGGGAAGAAAAAACTTCAAGTGCTTTCATTACCGAGGCATATGAGACGGGGAAGCGAAGCCTCGTGTGGGGGTTTAGTCCCCGGTGTTGGGAACCTGTGGGTGATAGTTTGCTTGGGGTAATTGAGGACTGAAAAGGATATACAGGAGGTAGTTTGAGATGGTTTATTGGCGACGGGAATTACAGAGGTTTAAGTGAGGGCGGGTGGAAAGGAGGGGGGGGGGGGGGGGGGGTGGGGGAGAGTGGTGGTGGTGTGAAGAAAAGGGTATTTTTGAAGATTATTAAGGTATATATGTATTTGGTGTATGTAAATGGGTAAAGGGGAAGTTTTCGCTTTATTTTCACGTCTGTTTTTTTTTCAACGAAGCTGCCTCGTTCTCTCTCTCTCTCTCTCTCTGTAATTCTATAGAAGGACAAGTCCTTCTATAGTGTTAGGTTAGGTTAGAAGGTTAGTGTTAGAGCACTTCTGTTAGCACTCAAGAAATTCCTCAAACATGCAAGTAATCTAAAGTTGTAAGAAAAAAGCACTGTAGGGCTCAATCGGTGTTAGTAGTAAAAAATTTATGCAAGCTGGCTAGTAGCTAAGTGTGCTAGTACTCTATACAATGAACAAATCAACAAGGGCCATGACGAGGATTCGAACTTAACCGCCGAGAGCATTCCAGACGCATAGTATTTTATCAAATCACCTCATTCTTTGGGGCACACGTGAGGAACACAAATGCGAACAAGCCTGAATGGTCCCCAGGACTATCTGCAACTGAAAACTCACACCCCAGAAGTGACTCGAACCCATACTGCCAGGAGCACTATGCAACTGGTGAACAGGAGAACCTTAACCCACTCGACCATCACGACCGTACAAAAGATTATAGTAGCCGAGGCTATTTGCCCATCATCCCGACGGGCACTATGATGGTAATCTGGGCATAGTTATTTAATCAAATCCCCTCATTTTTGGGGGCCACGTGAGCAACTCAAATAAAGTTAGGTTCTTTAAGCCTACCATGTATATATACACTGGCTGCCTGTCCCCTACAAAAATATTTATTATTAACTATTTTATACAGTACCTTGCTAAAGCGAACACAGTACAGTTTCGTCATAGGAGATTCCTAGCTTGGATTTCACTACCAAATTTCAATATATCTAGGTATTTTTATGTATGAAATGCTGTTATTAAAGGCATAATTTATTGTTTTAATAATATTACGGATCTCAACAAAGAGCAGTGTTTAATTGATATACCTAAGCTAGTAGATTAAACAAAAGTAACTACTCTAATACCAGCCTGATATAAAACCTTATCATAAGCTACGGGTTTGTAGATCAGCGTTTAAAAGGGAATTCGGAAGTAATAATAATACAGCTGATGCCATCTGTCGGCAGAAGAGAACACTATCAACTGGCTGGTCAACAGTAGCCATAAGATACAGCTTATGCCATCTGTTGACATCAAATTACACTTATAACAAACTACCCTACAAAATACACCTAGCGCCATCTCTTATTTTTCCAACGCACTATAAATAGCCAAACAGCAGCCCATAAGGCGGGGGTGCTGTGCTGAAGCTCCGCCCAAGATGGTATGGGGCGCTAATCAATATCATTGGTACGTATTCTTTGTTGACATTCACACAACAGCCAATCACAGGAAGGGATCAGCTAAAGGCTCCATCCACTTAATAAATCATCTTTGTTCAGCACACCAGCCCTGCTTATGACATTCTGCTTCAACTTTAATCTACCTAAAAAGTGAAGTGTAGTTTATTTAAAAGTATTAATAAAGTGATAATTAAATTTTGCAGGATGTAACAGTGTTATAGAAAAATGGGCTTGGCTACCTAACTTGTGACGTCATCAGTGGAGGTTGCCTAACACAAATAAAATCGATAACATAAGATGCTCCGCCCTCTTATGGATCGTATTATTGAACTAGATGGACTTATTGGACTGTCAGGTTCAGTTAGATGGAAATTTTATGTCAAGAACAAAACCAAGAGGTTGTTGTGCAAAAGGACGTATTTCTTAGTTTGCATTTCATTCATAGAAAGAGTGTTGGCATTCCTTGCAACAGCCAATCACAGGAAGGTGTTGGCTGAAAACTCCGCCTCCGTACTGACGTCTCCGAGCTCTAGCTTATGGCTTGCTGTTTCATCTTGGTACAAGAATTCAACCAACTACGAACCACTTAGAGTGATGAAAGGGAGCAGTAGAACAACAGAAGTACACTTACATCGCATCAGGCTTGGATACCCATGTGCATGGGAAATAGGCTTACAGGTTCCGGAAGATGAGAGGAAATGTCAGCACTGTGGAGAAATGCCCGACAGACCACTGGAACATTATCTAACACAGTGCACAGTTACAAACCCATTAAGATTTCAACTTAGATTCAACAGAGCAGAAGAAGTTGTTAAACACAACACATGGGACAAAATCTTACTGAAGCGACACATACGAGTCATAAATACTCATCAACGCCTCTGGTGGTGGGTGGTGGAACTCATACTCCAGGACTGAAGTATACTCTCCCAAGTAAAATTGCATAAAAAGCTTAAAAAACAAGCAACACTTAGTAAAACAATGGGCCAGCCAGAGGCTTAGGGCCCGCGCAGGAATATCCCTGCCCAAAATGTAAGAGCGAATGGGAAAAAGTGTGTGTGTGTGTGTGTACTCACCTAGTTGTGTTTGCGGGGGTTGAGCTCTGGCTCTTTGGTCCCGCCTCTCAACTGTCAATCAACTGTAAAATCTATCAACTGTGTGTGTGTTTACCTAACAGTGTCTACGGAAAGTTGAGCTGTGGCTCTTGGCGACCCACCTGCTAGTCATACTATTTTTGTCGGAGTTCGAACGGAACTATTCTGACGTTCGAATTTTTTGTCGAATTTGGCCTTTAAAAGTTGTCGATGAAAGTGACTTCCACAACTTCTTCCTTCAGTGCATTCCACTTGCTAACCATCTAGTTTCTTAGTATCTTGTATATTGCGATCATATCCACTCTATTTTCTATCGGAAATCCTCTAGAACTGGGAGATTTGTATGTATTTTTTCTCAATTTTTGATGAATATGGAACTTCGTCAGATTGTAGAAGGTGTAAGGAACAATGTACGCAGAGTCAGTAGCGGAGGTGACCATGGAACAACACTGCCAAAACCAGCAGTAACACATGTGGCCCACACCTGCACACACCTGTTCAAAAAGAAGTACCGAGTCAGCTATTAACACGGTGAAAAAATTTTGTGTGCGTTATTACTCAGGCAATTACATACCTGACAATGTTAGCATTCTACACATCTGGATAGCATACACACCTGCAAAGCCACATCCGACCACACACGTGCATAGGCACACTAAAAATTACGTTCAAATTCAATGCTTACACACCTGCCTAATATAATGCTCTACCGCACCCATACACTGTAATGGACACACCTTATATATGACTGAAGCCACACCCTAAACATCAACACATCCACACCCCTAAACACCAACACGGCCACACCCCTAAACATCAACGTAGCCACACACCCTAAACACCAACACGGCCACACACCCTAAACACCAACACGGCCACACCCCTAAACACCAACACGGCCACACACCCTAAACATCAACACAGCCGTACACACTAAACATATGTATTTCAAAATAATATTCCATAAAGATGTTTACTCGTGTTATTTCTTTGTAGCTTTCAACATTAATGACCTCGTCACGTTGTTAAGAGATATTAACTACAATCAATCAACTGCACACACACACACACACACACACACACACACACACACACACACACACACACACACACACACACACACACACACACACACACACACACCTGCACACACACCTGCACACACACACACACACACACCTGTATTTAAATAATACCCCTGGGCGTTCAGGAAGTCTGAGCTGGGCAGTTCCACCTGTGTCAGCCTGCTGTGATGGGCACCCAGGGAGCTGATGCAGGCCACGTTGATAACCCCGTGTTGAAACAGGTCACCAGAGGCCTGTAGGTACAGGCCCACGGTCCTGCCCTCGGCGTAGGACCTGAGATACCGCTGCAGGAGACGGAAAGGTACGTTTAAAGAAAGGTGGGTTAGCTGTTAGGTAGGTTAGGTTAGGGTAGGTAGGGCTGGTAGAGGTAGGCTGATATGTGGACCTGCTGGCAGGTAGGCCGTTAGGTAGGCCCTCTGAAAGGTATATATATATATATATATATATATATATATATATATATATATATATATATATATATATATATATATATATATATAATACACACACAAGTATACTTATGTATATACCTAGGGAATATACATACACCACTGGAAATGTATGTTCATGTATATATAAAAACCTTGTTATGAGGGCATAACTTAGGATATTAAAAGTTGTTCAATTTCAATCAAACTTTTTTGACTAGTTGTATATGAAAAGGGCTGCAAATGGTCCAAGTTTCAGCATCACAGCCTAAATAGAAAGGGAAAGAAAAAAAATTATTATTTTTCAACGAATTTTCAACATGTTCAAAATTACTCTACAACCACAAATTTCAAATGAAATCTTTTCTATGACACTCATCTATCACATTAGCATATAATAAAGGATTTTACCAAAAGGATTATCCAAAATATGTTTAGTTTTACTAATAGAAATATTTAAAGTCCCCCCAAAAAATTATGCAAAAATATTTCTTATAAATATTTTTAAAATCAGTAAATGAACTTAGGAATAAAAATACCTTTGTTGAATTGTAGAGACATTAACTCTACATATAAGGTGTAAGTTTCATGCAAATTGAATAAGAAATGAAAGAGTAGAGTCACTTTTATGTTACTTGAAACAAAAAGAAGTCAAAACACACAGAGATCACACTAACGTGATGCATCAAATGAACAAATTGGATTTGTTCAAAAAGAAGTCAAAGATTCTGCCACCTGTGGCTGAAGTTGACTTTAACCAATTTCCTCCAAAATTGGCACCCTTAAAGAGAGGCGTACGTGCAGTAAGGTCTATAAGTTTCATGCAAATCGCCCGATAAACAAAATAACAAATTAGAAGACAAATAAAAAATCCATTTTTTTTACTAAATATATATATTGGATGAAACTAATTATTAAAACCCTTTTATTATATGCTATTGTGATAGCTGAGAGTCATATACATGATCTCAGTTAACACTTGTGTTTGATGTTAATTTTTGAACATTTAGAATTTTTTTTATATAGAAGTAAATATTTTTTTATCCATTTTTAATTAGGCTACGATGCTGAGACAAGTTCAAGTTCAAGTATGTTTATTGAGACAAGAAAACAATACATCTCAAAGGGATAGAGTAGCTTAGGCTATTTCTACCCCCCAGATGCTGAGACCTGGACCAGTTGAAGACCTTTTTATAAACAACTAGTCATAAAAAAATTATTGAACTTGAACAAGTTTTTATTTATTGTACATTTTAAAGTTATGACCCCTTAATAACGAGTCAAACTTTAACATTGCAAGATCAGTAGAAGTATTTTAGAGGGAATTACACTAGTGGACATATATGTCAGTGGGAACCCACTAGTAGAGAATACCTGTGGCACATAATAGTGGAACCCATCAACCACTGGAACCTACCCAGTAAACCTTCCAGTAGAAGCTACAAAAAGTAACCTACACCGTGACATTTTCAGGTAAAAACTTACAAGTAAAGTTTTCGGAGAGTTCTTAAGAAATTTCTTAGTGGAAGCTTAATGAAGAAAACTTATCTTAGGTTCCCGAGGTAAACAGACTTAGCAGACGACATCAAGTAGAACCTGACAAGCGGAACTGATGGAGAAACTTTCATAATGATAATATCGAGTTGAATCAACCGAAAGAAGTTACTAAGTTCACTTTATTCCCAGCGTAATCTACCAGGTGCAGCCTAACTTGTGCTATCGGTTGGGTGCCTATATGCAACCCGTTCTTGCACTTTCTTACAGTCAATATTGACTTATTAAATACGTGCATATGTGACATACTAAACATACTAGTTTACCTTGAAAAGCTTCATAGAAAACACCGACCTTACCTAACCTTCTTAGTATGTTAAGATAATCATCTTATTGCTTCGTAATTACAATTATTACTTAACCTATTATAGGTATAGGTTAAGTAATAATTTCGTATAGTCGTATTTTCGTATAGTCAATATTGACTATACGAAAGTGCGAGAACGGGTTGCTATATGGTGCTATCGGTTGGAACACACCTGGTAAGAGATATCAGGAGGAACCTACTGCTGTACTGGAGCTTGTGACACAGACTCCGGAGCCTACCTTGAGCACTGGCCTGCCATTGAGGCTCCAGGAGAGGACTGGCACATACTGGGTGTTGCTGGACGAGCAGTTGAGGCTCACCATGTCCTTCCTGGTGTAGGACTCTTTGGCGCCTCTGATCCGAGGCTCCTTCAGCGCCTCCGCTGAGAATAGACAGATGTGTTAGTGTAAGAGAGAGAGGCACCAAGCCATTACGACGGGTTGAGTTGTAAGTAGTTTGAAAGGTATTTACCAGTTATAAACAAGGATTTGATAGCTGAACTAACGAGCAATTGGCCCTTGTTTATGAGGACGCACAGCAAAATGACTTGTAATTACTAAATAGTTACATGGAAGGTATGAGTGACTCTCTTTTTCATGAGAGAGAGAGAGAGAGAGAGAGAGAGAGAGAGAGAGAGAGAGAGAGAGAGAGAGAGAGAGAGAGAGAGAGAGAGAGAGAGAGAGAGAGAGAGAGAGAGAGAGAGAGGAAGCCTCCACTTACTAAACACTGTGAGTCGAGCCTTGCGCACTTCCTTTCGAAAGCTCGGGTGTTCTCCTATGACCTCACACTGGTACTCGCCGGAGGACGAGGTCGTCACCTCCCGGAGGACCACCTCCCTCTCGCTCGACACCCAGCACTAGAAGGGGAAGGAATAGAGGATAGGCATGATGTTGTTGCCCCTCGATCCAGTGGACACAGTCTTCAAGATAAACGTTGGGGTCGTTGTGTGTGTGTGTGTGTGTGTGTGTGTGTGTGTGTGTGTGTGTGTGTGTGTGTGTGTGTATGTGTATGTGTATGTGTATGTGTATGTGTATGTGTATGTGTGTGTGTGTGTGTGTGTGTGTGTGTGTGTGTTAGAGAGAAATATATGTAGTAGATATAATAGAGGAAAAATAGATTTGTTAGAAAGTCGGGGTCCAAGAGCTAATAGCTCCATTCTGCAGACACAAATAGTAAATACACACAGCTACACCTACACCCAAGAACAAATATACATGTACTTTAGGCTACAGCAGTCCTTCGTTACAAAATAAATGCCTACAATTAGGCCTAAATATTTGCATAACGATATTTGTAACGGCCGTTATCTTATGCAATGAATGCAGGCATTTTGAGGACAGTTCTCTAGATTGGTTCTATACTGGCCGGGCCAGCGTGTGAGGTCAGATTGGCTGAGCAGTTGATGAGTTGATGATTGTTCTAACCAAAAGCTTGATGGAGAGTTTCCTGTGTGTGTGTGTGTGATTGTGAGTAAATCTGTCTAGTGGCTGTGTTTGGTTCTTGGTCTGTGTTTATCTTTCAATCTCAGACGCTGCATGTCGCCCTGCTACTCTCCGTCTCTTTCTGTTGCTCTGTCTCTCTGTGTCTGTATCTCTGTCTCTCTGTCTCTCTCTCTCTCTGTCTCTCTCTCTCTCTCTGTCTCTCTCTCTCTGTCTCTCTCTCCCTGTCTCTCTCTCTCCATGTCTGTCTGTCTGTCTGTCTGTCTGTCTGTCTGTCTGTCTGTCTGTCTGTCTGTCTGTCTGTCTGTCTGTCTGTCTCTCTCTCTCTCTCTCTCTCTCTCTCTCTCTCTCTCTCTCTCTCTCTCTCTCTCTCTCTCTCTCTCTCTCCCTGCGGTAGTACTCACATCAACGGAGACGCCCTCCACGTGGTGAGGGAACTCATCAAGACAGAGGTGGTCGGGAGAGATGCCGGGCTGGTGGCGGTAAAACTCCCTGCCGTCCTTGTACCACTTGAGGGTGTAGAGGCTGGAGCCGCCCTCGTCCTCGTAGTCACAGCGGAGGCGCACCTCGTCCGCTTGGAGGGCCACGGGTGGTACTTGAAGTGCTCTGATGCGGACTCCTTCAGTCCACCCTGAGGACAGAGGGAGAGGAAGGAAGGTTGATCAGAAAGTGATATGACTTTCACTATGTAGCTTATGGCGGAATATTGTGTCGTTTAGAGAGAGAGAGAGAGAGAGAGAGAGAGAGAGAGAGAGAGAGAGAGAGAGAGAGAGAGAGAGAGAGAGAGAGAGAGAGAGAGAGAGAGACAGACAGACAGAGAGAAAGGCATATACGTATTACGTATCTATGTATGTATATATGTGTAAATATTCTGTCATATTAAATATTATGCCATCCCCCCAAAAAAATATATATGGATCCTTGATATATAGCAATCACCACATATATAGGCCTATACTACCAATTCAACCAGTATAATTCGTATTATTTATTTGAAAAATCAGACTTTCTTCGAGACAGAATTCATAAACAATAAAATTCTTATCTTGGATTTTAATGATTATATTGGTATGATATAATATAATAATTTACCAACTCCCTCTACAGTATAATATGGTTGTTATCAACCCTCTACAGTATAGTAAGGGGTATTAACAACCCTCTACAGTATAATAAGGGATATTAACAACCCTCTACAGTATAATATGGTTGTTATCAACCCTCTACAGTATAGTAAGGGGTATTAACAACCCCCTACAGTATAATATAGGGATATTAACAACCCTCTACAGTATAGTAAGGGGTATTAACAACCCTCTACAGTATAATAAGAGATATTAACAACCCTCTACAGTATAATATGGTTGTTATCAACCCTCTACAGTATAGTAAGGGGTATTAACAACCCCCTACAGTATAATATGTGGTGTTAACAACCCTCTACAGTATAGTAAGGGATATTAACAACCCCCTACAGTATAATAAGGGATATTAACAACCCTCTACAGTATAGTAAGGGGTATTAACAACCCCCTACAGTATAATAAGGGATATTAACAACCCTCTACAGTATAGTAAGGGGTATTAACAACCCTCTACAGTATAATAAGAGATATTAACAACCCTCTACAGTATAATATGGTTGTTATTAACCCTCTACAGTATAATATGGTTGTTAACAACCCTCTACAGTATAATATGGTTAACAACCCTCTACAGTATAATATGGTTGTTAACAACCCTCTACAGTATAATATGGTTGTTAACAACCCTCTACAGTATAATATGGGGTGTTAACATCCCTCTACAGTATAATATGGTTGTTAACAACCCTCTACAGTATAATATGTGGTGTTAACACCCCTCTACAGTATAATATGGTTGTTAACTACCCTCTACAGTATAATATGGGGTGTTAACAACCCTCTACAGTATAATATGTGGTGTGTTAACAACCCTCTACAGTATAATATGGGGTGTTAACAACCCTCTACAGTATAATATGTGGTGTTAACAACCCTCTACAGTATAATATGGGGTGTTAACAACCCTCTACAGTATAATATGGGGTGTTAACAACCCTCTACAGTATAATATGGGGTGTTAACAACCCTCTACAGAATAATATGGGGTGTTAACAACCCTCTACAATATAATATGGGGTGTTAACAATCCTCTATAATATAATATGGTTGTTAACAACCCTCTACAGTATAATATAGAGGTTAGTAACCCACTTCAGCATGAAACTGAGAGCAACCAGCAAACTACAATATAGGGGTGTTAACATATGGGGTGTTAACAACCCTCTACAGTATAATATGGGGTGTTAACAACCCTCCACAGTATAATATGGGGTGTTAACAACCCTCTACAGTATAATATTGGGTGTTAACAACCCTCTACAGTATAATATGGGGTGTTAACAACCCTCTACAGTATAATATGGGGTGTTAACAACCCTCTACAATATAATATGGGGTGTTAACAACCCTCTATAATATAATATGGTTGTTAACAACCATCTACAGTATAATATGGGGTGTTAACAACCCTCTACAGTATAATATGGTTGTTAACAACCCTCTACAATATAATATGGGGTGTTAACAACCCTCTACAATATAATATGGGGTGTTAACAACCCTCTACAGTATAATATGGGGTGTTAACAACCCTCTACAGTATAATATGGGGTGTTAACAACCCTCTACAATATAATATGGGGTGTTAACAACCCTCTATAATATAATATGGTTGTTAACAACCCTCTACAGTATAATATGGGGTGTTAACAACCCTCTACAGTATAATATGGGGTGTTAACAACCCTCTACAGTATAATATGGGGTGTTAACAACCCTCTACAGTATAATATGGGGTGTTAACAACCCTCTACAGTATAATATGGGGTGTTAACAATCCTCTACAGTATAATAGAGGTTAGTAACCCACTTCAGCATGAAATTGAGAGCAACCAGCAAACTACAATAGAGTATGGGAAGCTACAACACCACTACAGCAAAATACAATAAGGACTCACACAGCACCAACATACAACAGCATGAAGCATTATGGCACTAGGAAGCTGCAAAATAAAATAAATTGCCAATATTATGTAGGAGTAATGTAGGTACCAAGATACAACTGAATACAATACACTACCAACATAATACAGTAGCCACGAATATACTTCAGCATAATACATTAGGTATCAACGGTATACATACTTCACAACAACGCAAGTAAAATCGTTGTATATATATATATATATATATATATATATATATATATATATATATATATATATATATGTCGTACCTAGTAGCCAGAACGCACTTCTCAGCCTACTATGCAAGGCCCAATTTGCCTAACAAGCCAAGTTTTCGTGAATTAATTGTTTTTCGACTACCTAACCTAACCTAACCTATAAAGATAGGTTAGGTTAGGTTAGGTAGGGTTGAATAGTTAGGTTCGGTCATATATCTACGTTAATTTTAACTCCAATAAGCCAAAAAAAAATTGACCTCATACATAGTGAAAAGGGTAGCTTTTATCATTTCATAAGAAAAAAATTATAGTAAATATATTAATTCATGAAAACTTGGCTTATTAGGCAAATCGGGCCTTGAATAGTAGGCTGAGAAGTGAGTTCTGGCTACTAGGTACGACATATATATATATATATATATATATATATATAAACAGTGAACATTACCTTCGTTTTTATCCAAAACTATCTAAACTAAATACAATTAAAACTTTAAAATAGAGTTGTTAATGTCTGTTCGAATTATAAAATATTTGACACTGAAATTAAGTTTTTGCATAACTTTGTGTTTCAAAGTCGTTTCCAGGTAAGGATACGATATACAGTTCTTTATGAGATTCTTAATTACCTAATTTAAACCTATTGTCGTGGTTCCCATCGTCGCTATAGACACGCATTACATAAACCTCCCTCATCTGGGCACTGTAATCTATTACATTAAGTAGGAGGTTCAGAATATTCTTAGAGATACTTATTCACAAATTACTTTTCAGTTCGTGTTTACTAACACCACTGGAAACTGTTTTAAACGTTGAGATCAACTGCCCTTTGAATTCAAATCTGGTGTTGTTTATCAATTTAAATATTGGAACTGTAACGGTCGATATGAGGGGAATACCTCAGGAGACTCTCACCACCGTATTTGTGAACACTTGGGCGTCTCTTACCGTACTGGGGGCCATATTCACGTAGCAGTTACGCAGGTACTTACGAACGTGTACATCTTTCCTCAATCTTTGACGGCTTTGATTACATTTATTATACAATTTACAACCATGAAAACTTCCCAATCAACTATTGTTATTGTTATAAACAGCCTCCTGGTGCTTCAGAGCTCATTAATTGTTTAATAATTGTAAACAAAGCCGCCAAAGATTGAGAAAAGCTGTACAGGTTCGTAAGTGCATCGACTTGAGAATGGTCCAGGACGGACCGCAACGTCATCGTCCCTTCACCTTCTAGTGTGTGGTCTGGTCAACAGGTTCGTAAGTGCTTGCGTAACTGCTTCGTGAATCAGGCCCCTGGTCTGCCTCTGAGACAATGGGCACACTCTGCTATTACAGATCACAACCAGGATAATGTAATCCCTTTCACCTACAGCCATTTCGTGCTTCTGCCTTGTAGTTCGTGTCGCCTTGAATTCGTTATCTTAGAGAGTATCTCGATCTTTAAAATGAAACCTGAGTTGAGCAGTTCGGAGTCGTCGACTCAGTTGTTTGTACGCAGCACATCCTTATAAACAAAGGTCAAAATCCATTCCATGCACCCGCTAATCACCCTGTTTATGGATTGAAAATGGCTTACACACGCAGCCTGTCCTCCAAACAAAGATCCAAAAGTGATTCCATGCACCCGCCAAACCTCCTGTTTATCAATGATAAAAACGGTTTACACACGACTCACAACTGATGACGTTCGAACACTTCCGGAACAAGTACTTCACTGATGACTTTTGTTCGAACCACAACGCTGTAAATGCTTCACCCACGTACTACAAATACAAATAATCGCCAACAGAACCTAAACACCTAACCTAACCCATGTTTATATATGCACAATATGCTAATATATTATAATACTAATTTATATTTGAGAAAATTCTCATTCTGAATGAACAGCATGTAAAAATATATGAATGCGTCTGTGGGGTCGACCGCTGGATGTAATGGACTTGAGTCGAGGACGGGTTGAACGCTCTAGCTTATGACTGTTTCAACACTCGTATTTTTAGGAGGCAAATGATATTCATGTTAAATATATTTATTTCCATAATTTCCGAACTGTTTTCTTTAACTTGTATGTAGTAATAAACTGTTCCTACATTTACAGTTGTTCTTCCTTGTGAAGATTTAACAAAACTGAGTTTGTAAGGTCGCGGAAGTTGAGGCTGGTGGGGACGCCAGCAAGCCTCGGGCCGGCCCTGGCAGCTCCCAGTCTCACTCTAGTTCCTCCTTGGAGGGACCTCCGTATATGCCTAACATGTATATATACACTGCCTGCCTGTCCCCTACACAATGTTTTATTATTAATTATTATATATTGCATACCTTGCTAAGGCCAACACAGCTCAGTTTCATCATAGGAGATTCCTGGATTGGAATTCACTAACAAATTTCAATATATGCAAGTATTTTTAGCGTGAAATGATGTTATTATATGTATAATTTGTTGTTTTAATAATATTACAATCTGATGTTATTTGGAAATGCTTCACATCTCAACAAAGAGCAATATATCCTAACCAGACGTTATATAATGATATCCTCAACAATATATAAAAAAGTTAATGCAGAACTTCAATAACGTAATACAAGAGTTGTATAAAACCTTGTCATAAGTAACGGGATTTGTAGATCAGAGTTTAAAAGGAATTCGGAAGTAAAAATCGTACAGCTGCTGCCATCTGTTGGCAGAAAAGAACACTATCAAGAGGCCTGGTAAATAGTAGCCATAAGAAACAGCTTATGCCATCTGTTGGAATCAAATTGCACTATTAACATTTTACCCTTCAAAATACAACTAACGCCATCTCTGATTTTTCCAACGCACTATAAATAGCCAAACAGCAGCCCATAAGGCGGGTTGTTGTGCTGGAGTAAGAATTACCCCCCACCCCCCATGAGCTTCCATGTCATTGGTAGAGACTCTTTGTTGACATTCAGCACTCAGCCAATCACAGGAAGGGATCAGCTAAAGGTGCCATCCACTTAATAAATCATCTTTGTTCAGCACACCAGCCCTGCTTATGACATTCTGCTTCAACTTTATTCTTCCTAAAAAGTGAAGTGTTAATTATTTACAAGTGTTAATAAAGTGATAATTAAATATTACAGGATATAAAGGTGTTATAAAAATGTTGCCTGGCTACCTAACTTCTGCCGTCTTCAGTGGGAGTTGTCTCACACAAATAATAATAATAATAATAATCTATAACATCGATAATATGATGCACCGCCCTCTTATTAAACTAAATTATTCAGTTAGATGGAAGTTCCTGTGAGGTACAAAACAAAGAGGTTGTTGTACAAAAGGACGTATTTCTTAGTTTGCATTTCATTCATAGAGAGAGTGTTGACATTCCCTGCAACAGCCAATCACAAGACGGTATTTGCTAAAGAGCCGCACCTCCTTATTGACATCTGGAGCGTTCAGTACAACGCTCTAGCTTATCACTGTTTCATCAATCGTATTTGTGGGAGGCAAAAGCAAACATTTATTTTAAAAAACAATTTAGTAATATAATTAAAAGTAGATAAGTAAATTATAAGGCTTACAAAAAGTGGCATTATAATTTAATTAACTGTACTAAATAGTAATATACAGCTACCTCCAAATAACCATTTAGTTTCCAGTACAATATATATATATATATATATATATATATATATATATATATATATATATATATATATATATATATATATATATATATATATATATATATATATATATATATATATATATATATATATGTCGTACCTAGTAGCCAGAACGCACTTATCAGCCTACTATGCAAGGCCCAATTTGCCTAATAAGCCAAGTTTTCATGAATTAATATATTTTCTCTAATTTTAATTCTTATGAAATGATAAAGCTACCCATTTCATTATGTATGAGGTCAATTTTTTTTAATGGAGTTAAAATTAACGTAGATATATGATCGAACCTAACCAACCCTACCTAACCTAACCTAACCTATCTTCATAGGTTAGGTTCGGTTAGGTAGCAGAAAAAGTTAGGTTAGGTTAGGTTAGGTAGGTTAGGTAGTCGAAAAAACATTAATTCATGAAAACTTGGCTTATTAGGCAAGTCGGGCCTTGCATAGTAGGCAGATAAGTGCGTTCTGGCTATTAGGTACGACATATATATATATATATATATATATATATATATGTCGTACCTAATAGCCAGAACTCACTTCTCAGCCTACTATTCAAGGCCCGATTTACCTAATAAGCCAAGTTTTCCTGAAATAATATATTTACTATAATTTTTTTCTTATGAAATGATAAAGCAACCCTTTTCTCTATGTATGAGGTCAATTTTTTTTATTGGAGTTAAAATTAACGTAGATATATGACCGAACCTAACCAACCCTACCTAACCTAACCTAACCTATATTTATAGGTAAGGTTAGGTTAGGTAGCCAAAAAAAGCTAGGTTAGGTTAGGTTAGGTAGGTTAGGTAGACGAAAAAACATTAATTCATGAAAACTTGGCTTATTAGGCAAATCGGGCCTTGAATAGTAGGCTGAGAAGTGCGTTCTGGCTATTAGGTACGACATATATATATATATATATATGTCGTACCTAGTAGCCAGAACTCACTTTTTGGCCTACTATTCAAGGCCCGATTTGCCTAATAAGCCAAGTTTTCCTGAATTAATATATTTACTATAATTTTTTTCTTATGAAATGATAAAGCTACCCATTTCATTATGTATGAGGTCAATTTTTTTTTTATTGGAGTTAAAATTAACGTAGATATATGACCGAACCTAACCAACCCTACCTAACCTAACCTAACCTATCTTTATAGGTTAGGTTTGGTTAGGTAGCCGAAAAAGTTAGGTTAGGTTAGGTTAGGTAGGTTAGGTAGTCGAAAAACAATTAATTCATGAAAACTTGGCTTACTAGGCAAATTTGGCCTTGCATAGTAGGCTGAGAAGTGAGTTCTGGCTACTAGGTACGACATATATATATATATATGTAAGGAAATTTCCTGTTTCATTTTTCCTCCGTGGTCTGACATTGTCACATTCTTAATCACGTGTTTATTTTCGTGATATACACACACATATATATATATATATATATATATATATATATATATATATATATATATATATATATATATATGTCGTACCTAATAGCCAGAACGCACTTCTCAGCCTACTATTCAAGGCCCGATTTGCCTAATAAGCCAAGTTTTCATGAATTAATGTTTTTTCGTCTACCTAACCTACCTAACCTAACCTAACCTAGCTTTTTTTGGCTACCTAACCTAACCTTACCTATAAATATAGGTTAGGTTAGGTTAGGTAGGGTTGGTTAGGTTCGGTCATATATCTACGTTACTCCAATAAAAAAAAATTGACCTCATACATAGAGAAAAGGGTTGCTTTATCATTTCATAAGAAAAAAATTATAGTAAATACATTAATTCAGGAAAACTAGGCTTATAGGCAAATCGGGCCTTGAATAGTAGGCTGAAAAGTGAGTTCTGGCTACTATATATATATATATATATATATATATATATATATGACAATGTCAGACCACGGAGGAAAAATTAAACAGGAATTTCCTTAAGTACTTTCGTATATTAATACATCTTCAGAAGGAGTCACTTCACTCCTTCTGAAGATGTATTAATATACGAAAGTACTTAAGGAAATTCCTGTTTCATTTTTCCTCCGTGGTCTGACATTGTCACATTTTTAATCACGTGTTTATTTTCGTGATATACACACACACACACACATATATATATATATATATATATATACACACACACACACATATATATATATATATATATATATATATATATATATATATATATATATATATATATATATATATATATATATATATATGTCGTACCTAGTAGCCAGAACGCACTTTTCAGCCTACTATGCAAGGCCCGATTTGCCTAATAAGCCAAGTTTTCATGAATTAATATATTTTCTCTAATTTTTTTCTTATGAAATGATAAAGCTACCCATTTCATTATGTATGAGGTCGATTTTTTTTATTGGAGTTAAAATTATATATGACCGAACCTAACCAACCCTACCTAACCTAACCTAACCTATCTCTATAGGTTAGGTTAGGTTAGGTAGCCGAAAAAGTTAGGGTAGGTTAGGTTAGGTAGGTTAGGTAGTCGATAAACAATTAATTCATGAAAACTTGGCTTATTAGGCAAATCGGGCCTTGCATAGTAGGCTGACAAGTGCGTTCTGGCTACTAGGTACGACATATATATATATATATATATATATATATATATATATATATATATATATATATATATGTCTTTTATTTTGCAAATAGCCTAGTTTTAGGTTTTGTATGTGAGTCATTTTCATTTAATGAGTATTTAATTCTAATTTGTATATTAATGTCTTTAGGTAATGCGATGTACATTAGTACGATGTACTTACTCTTTTTAGTATTGATAATGGAGTTTGAGATTCCGATACGTGTTATTTTAAATAAACTCAAGAAGGTGTATTTAAATAAACTCAAGGAGGAAATGTAGATGTTTATCTCTCAGAATGTTTGGTAATATATTTATTGTTTGTGATGTGTGTCTATGTATGTATTAACACGATGTACTGAACGGGGTGAGAATAGCTTGAGCTACCTCATCCCTTTGTGTGTATTTTACCTCAATAAACTTATTTCAATTTCAATACGTAACATGTATCTTTTCTCTGCTTGTAATAATCATAAAATATGCTAAAAATATGAATAAGCATACAAATACAATTTTTAAGAAAAATTAAGATATTAATAACAGAACATATTAGTAAAAAAAATGAGAATCACGGAAGAAAAGACAATAATATATTTAATAAAGGGGGACAAAAAAGACGAAAGATAGAGTCAAGAGATAATAACAGGTAGAGAAAGAGACGTAAGAGAAAGTAAAGGCAGGAGGAAGAGAGAGAGTAAAGGGAGGAGAAAGAGAGAGAGTAAAGGGAGGAAGAAGAGAGAGTAAAGGGAGGAAGAAGAGAGAGAGAGTAAAGGGAGGAAAAAGAGAGTAAAGGGAAGAGAAAGAGACGTAAGAGAGAGAGAGTAAATGTAGGAGAAATCGAGTGTAAAGGGAGGAGAAAGAGAGAAAAGGAAGGAGAAAGAGAGTAAAAGAGACAATAAGAACACACTTGCCTGCCACGTGAAGTATAATCACCAGAGGGAAGTAGGGGACAAAGTCTTCACTCTCTCCCAGACCAGCCTCCATACTCAGCTGGTGTTCATCAACATGTTCATCACTTGTTCAACGGAGAACATTAAGTCTCCCCACTCCTCTCTCTCTCTCTCACTGTTCAGAAGGCTTCGCCTGTCAGCCTCAGACACTAGAGAACATTATGGGAACCATTTGAACAAGTTATCAACTGTTCTCTCATTTCATGGTGTTCATAGCGAGAATGTTAAGCCTATCGTATAATTTTAGTATGAATTGAAAACATGATCTCTGAATTCAAAGCAAAAAGATATTAATTTGTGCTAAACACACAATATACGCTGATGATTAATAGCATTTACGAATGTTATAATATCGTCAGAGAGAAGGGAAGTTAGTCAGCAGCAGGAGAGGCAATTACTAATATTGCTTGACTAGCCTCCGCAGACCTCCGCTCGCGACCGCCTCCGGAGGCGCACTGCTGCTTTTGCCCGCCAACTGTCGCTATATATGGATACCACCATCTCCCGCCGCCCCACCCTCAAACCCACCAATTTCCCTACGCCTCTATACCCTCTTTCGGTTCAAATTAGGCCTACATACCAGGCCTATTTATACTTTAAAGACTATACTCCTCCCTTTCCCTCCTCCTGTTCTCTCATGAAGGATATCATCTGCTTCACCTATTTGATGAGTTCTCTACTCATGCTGGCCTAATATCCTATCCATTGCAACAGCAGCAACGGGTAATTATTGCAACAGCAGCAACGGGTAATTACTGCAACAGCAGCAACGGGTAATTATTGCAACAGCAGCAACGGGTAATTACTGCAACAGCAGCAACGGGTAATTACTGCAACAGCAGCAACGGGTAAATATTGCAACAGTAACAACGGGTAAATATTCCAACTGCAATAACAGGATAAACAAGGGACCCCTCGATTGAAATAATCAAGGAATCCCTTGATTTATTGTTTTAAGAAGGTTCTATAGGTCTAACCACTATCATGGTTAGACATACAAATATGCATAAGTTTGGGAACTGGATATAAATAGGCGCTGACACGTATGGACCAATAGGCCTTCTGCAGTTGCATTTCCTTATGTTAAGACTTTGCAATTTCATTACCATCCGGTAATTTTAGCATCATTAGAACTAATTAGTTAATTCTTGTTAGAATTGGAGTTAATTCTTGTAACTCTAGCATCATTATCTAGCTTCGGAACCTTATTAAATATATTAGCACTAAATTACATCTCCCGCTCTTTCGATAATGTCAGTAGCCTATCTTGATTGTCTTGAAGTGAATCTGAGTCTTCTACTGACTTTATTTCTCGCACCAGTGTTCATATCGTCTGTATTTTTGCAAGTATTGCTGCTTAGTCCCATATCTAAATATATATATATATATATATATATATATATATATATATATATATATATATATATATATATATATATATATATATATATATATATATATATATATATATATATATATATATATATATATATATACTCTTTGTTTCTTCTGGTATGCCAATGCTCTGAGAGACTGAAGATAACACCCCCAATGCCATGAGCCTCTATCTTTCTACTCAATCTATGGCAAGGCGCTGACTCGAAAGCTTTGCTGAAGTCAAGTTACACAACGTCTATAAACCTTACCATTATCAACTGCCTCGATTGTGTTGGAATAGAATGAAAACACGTTTGTCAAGTATGAACGGCCCTGAGTAGAACCTTGTTGGTGAATCATTTATTTATCTATGTTTTTTCAAGATGAAGAGGAATGGCTTTTGCGGTTATTGAGTCATGCAATTTTTCCCACAAGAAACGTTAAGCTAATCGGCTAATAGCGACATAATGTTTAGAAATGTTAGTAGAAATGTGGAAATATTTAGGATGTTGGAATATAAAACAAAGAAATGTAATACTTTAACTAATTATTGACAAACACATACACAAAGACATACACGAACAAACACACACATAAGGTTCATCTTGGACTGTTTGTACTCAGGAAAATTAGTGCTTCTAGACTACACGTGACGTCCTCAGTTTTAATGAATATGAGAAACAATAAACGCAAGACGCCTGAGCATCTTATACACACTAGCAAGCACGGTAAAAGTCCACCATCTTTCACATAACCCCCAGTACACACAGGAGGAAAGAGGCGAGATGTGTGTATTATTAGAAATACATAAAAGCACATCAAATAAATCATGGAAATGTCTTCTCACAGAAATAATAATATAGGATAAAAACTATTACAATAAATTTACACAACGTTTCGAGCCTACATGGTTCATTCTCAAGTGAAGGGACAGTGCCGGGCGTATCCCATAGGATAAAATGCCTAGATTGTTTCAAGGTTACATGTCTGATCACTAATCATGGTTCGATACATCATGCTGCCGCTGGATTCAGCTCATCAGTCTTCGAGCTCGTCTGAGATGGATCTCCCACGACGAAGAACACTAAATTCCTCGAACTCGAGACTGTCCACCGACTTATACGCCTCCTGGCTGCTGTAAGGGTCCGGGTGCATTAACTTGAAGGGGATCTCGGCTACCAGCTCCCCTCCAAGGGCGCCACAGTTCAGTCTGACGCGCAGGGAATAAGAGACGATAATGCCCAGAGCGTCGCTGGCGCTCCTGCTTGCGGACATGATCGTCGAGGAGGCCAAGGTGGCGTCCTTGTCTTGAATCTGGCCGTCGAGGGCCACTCCGAAGGCCCTGCAAGCCAGAGGCGTCAGGGCAATTGTCCTGGAAAAGCTGCTATTGGGGATGATGGGGCAGCCATCGCGGGATTCTATTGAAGCCACAATACGGCTAAAGTTTGTGTTGGTCATGGTGATCTCCACGTGCTGCACCACCTGGTGAAGGATGTACTTCACCGTCTTCTTAGACGCGTTGAGAATGCTCACATGAGGCTCAAGGGACTGGCCGTGGTAGTACAAGTCACGGTCAAGGTATACCTCCAGGCGGAGCTTGCCGGGGTGAAGGGTAAAGCCTTTGCTTACCAGGATCTGTGGCTGGCGGCCGCTGGGCTTGTCCGGCGCTCGCTGGATCTTGCGAACCGCCAAGGTGACGGAGTTACGCCTGTGGGGTTGGTCTTCGGCGTTCTCAGCTACGTAGAGCATCAGTTCGTAGATAACTCCAAGCTTTTTGCTCTGAATGAAAGAGGAGAGTAGGCCTACATTAGAGCGTGAACACCAAATATGAGATCATGAACAAGGCTATCCCATGAACGTGATACATCCACCAGAACCCAAACGTTGGCATCTAACTGTCCCTCGACTCCTGAGGCACTAATAAGTAAGACAAGTAGTATTTTATTTGTGTATACGAGAGTTCTTACATTCTTGTACAGCCACTAGCACACATAGCGTTTCCGGAAGGTCCATAATCCTAATTTTCCCCGGAATACGACCTGCCCAATCGTATAACAACCAGGTACCCATTCACTACTGAGTGAACAGAGGCTACAGATAAGCTTTGGCGCCCAATCAATCCTTCCCGGCCAGGATACGAACCGAGGCCAAAGCGTTCGCGAAGCTCCGGGCGAGTGTTTTACCACTGTGTCATGGAGACCGCGAACGTGTAGTTCTGATTGAGTTACATATGAAGCCATCATGGTCCAGTCAGCGGTAAGTGGGCCAGAGGTGTTCAGCCAGTGGGCCAGATTCACGAAGCAGTTACGCAAGCACTTACGAACGCTTTGCTTTCTTTCCTCAATCTTTGGCGGCTTTGGTTACATTTATTAAACAGTTTACAAGCGTGAAAACGTCACAATCAACTGTTGTTATTGTTATAAACAGCCTCCTAGTGCTTCGGAGCTCATTAATTGTTTAATAATTGTAAACAAAGCCGCCAAAGATTGAGAAAAGTTGTACAGGTTCGTAAGTGCTTGCGTAACTGCTTCGTGAATCTGGCCCCTGTACGATAGGTTCGATCCCATAACAACAGACAATAATATCGGTTAAGACCACATTACAATATAATCATCAAAGAAAACCTGCCTCTTCAAAGGGGGGGACGTTTATGTATATATATATATATATATATATATATATATATATATATATATATATATATATATATATATATATATATATATATATATATATATATACACCAAAAGGTGTATCCTGTTTTGTGTATTATATATACTGAGAGTAAGTATACGCATTTGTGGGCCAGTAAGCTACAGTGGTGTCCATAACAACGCATGTTGATAGGCCTTATTAAGTCCATAACAACGCATGTTGATAGGTCTTATTAAGTCCATAACAACGCATGTTGATAGGTCTTATTAAGTCCATAACAACGCATGTTGATAGGCCTTATTAAGTCCATAACAACGCATGTTGATAGGCCTTATTAAGTCCATAACAACGCATGTTGATAGGTCTTATTAAGTCCATAACAACGCAAGTTGTTTGGCCTTATTAAGTCTAAGACCAAACCAAGCCCATTCCACACCTTCACTGTCCCCCCATATCAAAGCCAATAAGCTAATTACCCAGACCTGCTGCCTGGGTAACAGCTTCTCCCCCAAATCAACCTACCCTGGCTTTGCGCCCTGGTGAGGCCACTACAGACCAGGTCCAGAGTGCAACTCCATAGTCTCCTGAGACTGATGGATGCCTCCTACTAAGCTAAGATACGGCCCAGAGTGTACGTTCCTCACTAACTACCCGTAATCCAGCTACAAAATCAACCAACCAGTAACCGAGATGAGAGAGTAAATAAAACCAAAAACCCACCTCACGGCTCCTAGTGAGTTTCTCGTCGATAATCACGTTAATGTGATTTCTTTGTGCAGACCAGTAAACATCAGTGAAGACCGTACAGTACAAGCGACCAGACTACCATTAAGTGTTCTTCAACGCTGTAAAACTAACAGAGAAACATGAGATAAAATGTGATTGATTATCTCAATGGAGGAAGGCTGTTATAGGCCTTCAGACTCACAGAAGAAAACTGTTCTGTTTTCTGTTCTATTCTCAGAACAGAAAACTGTTCTGTTTACGCTGTTCTTAATGAATGCTCATTTAACAACGTACCGTATGAGAGATAATTGGATTAATACGGTTAACGAAGTAGTACAGAGAAATCTAGTTCATTTATTTTGGACAAGATTAAAAGGCTGCTTGGTGTCACCACGTCAGTTGAGAGGCGGGCCCAAAGAGCCAGAGCTCAACCCCCGCAAGCACAAATAGCTGAGTACACGAGAACGAGGAAACCTGAATGGTTTAGTTTGGCGTGAAATATTCTAAGACAACACATGTAGAAAACGATCATTTCCTTATCTGTGGATAACTAAAATATTCTGAATACTCAAGCCTCTTCTCCCCCATCCTTACTACCACCACCTTGAATAAAATACTCATCAACGCATCTGACTTCTCAAATGAAACTAAGTAGGAAAACAGCATCCAAAATGGATTAGAAACACTCATATAACTACTTCACTGATTAGTTTTTTTTTCATTACTTACAACGTGCAAACTGAAATTCAGGTCAAAAAAATTGATTGAAAATTATATTAAGGAAACCCTTATGTGTCCCTTTTGGCCCGTATGTTGCATTAATTCAACCAGACATGTAAATAACATCGAATTTACAATATGTAAATTCGATGTCACTTGCAGAGTTTTAAAGGGAATATAATGATTAGAATAATTATTACATATCCTTCAAGACTCTCCAAGTAACACCGAATTGACAAGTTATTGTAAAAGTTACTGTAAACATGTGTGGTGGACTGACCGTGCCCTCGGCGCCCGGCTCTAAGGTGACAGACGGAGGGGTATCCTTGGGCAGCAGGAGGGTAAAGGGACGGGCTGCAGCCTCTCCAAGCTTCTCCAGAAGCCTAGCCATCGTCCCTCCCGCCGGCCACGCCTCCGTCCCCCCTGGCGGCGTCACCTCCAACTTCACCAGCTCGTACTCCTTGCTGAAGTTGAGACCCATGACCTCGTCCTCCTCGCGGCCGTAGCGGTACGTGAGGGAGACGCGAGCGAAGACCTTCCTGTCGCGGAGATAGTCCCCGTCCACCACGACGGCGCCTTCGACGGGAGAGACCCGGGTGAGGTTGTCCACGAAGTCCCGTCGACATAGGTACGCTGTGATCTTGCCTGGAATTAAAGGCAAGTGTTAAGTTAATTATTAATATTAATAGCTTTAAACTGCTACACTTTTTTTTTCAGTCCGCTCCTGTGCCAGGTAAGTTCACTACGGGCTCACCATAGCCCGTGCTACTTGCCCCGCTCCTATGCCAGGTAAGTCCACTACGGGCTCACCATAGCCCGTGCTACTTGCCCCGCTCCTGTGCCAGGTAAGTCCACTACGGGCTCACCATAGCCCGTGCTACTTGCCCCGCTCCTGTGCCAGGTAAGTTACGGGCTCACCATAGCCCGTGCTACTTGCCCCGCTCCTGTGCCAGGTAAGTTACGGGCTCACCATAGCCCGTGCTACTTGCCCCGCTCCTGTGCCAGGTAAGTTACGGGCTCACCATAGCCCGTGCTACTTGAAACTTGTTCCGAGTAGCTGAATCTATAACAACACCATGCTACACTTTGTGTGATCCCAACATGCTTTGTCCAGCCACTTGGGCTGGACGGTAGAGAGACGGTCTCGCTTCCTGCGGGTCGACGTTCAATCCCCGACCGTCCAAGTGGTTGTCTGTTTATATGTATGCTTTAGGCTTGAATCGAGGTCCCTTCCCAAGGTGGAACTAATGACCCATACCCCAGGATGTAACTTTACAACAGTTGCCTAACTCCTAGGGGGTACTTACTTGTCTACTAGGTGAACAGCGGCATCAGGTGACAGGAAACATCAGCTAATGCATGGGGATCGTACCTCAGATCCTCAGTTGTGAGTCGAGAAGGAAGCCAACTGTACTACAGATACCCAAGACCAGTAATAAATGTACTGATATTGTCCGATAAGTGTAATTAGCTCTTTTCTGCTCCATAAACAGTCATTAATTATATTAATTAATTAATTATTAATTAATTATTAAGTATTTATTAATTAATTATTAATTAAATGATAATTAATTATTATTAATTATTATTATTAATTATTAATTATATAATATAATTCATTGCCATTGCTGGGGTCAGGAAGCCTGTACCGAGGGTTGCTGACGTCACTCTCAGGCCAATTACTGACCTTCCCTAGCATGCCACCCACAACAGTTGTCTAACTCCCAGGTAATTCTTAACTTGTAAGTGAACAGGCCATCAGGTAAAAGGAAACGTGCTCAGCGCTTTCTGTCCTGCTCGGGGATTGAACCCGGGTCCCCCGATTGTGAGCTGAGAGTGTACACCACTGTGTATATAGTGGCTGTTCCATCTTTGTCACTTCACACAAGCGATCACCTTAAGAAAAAAGACGTGACCACATTTTGCGACAAAGAATTTACAATTATCAGATTTATTTTTTTTTTTTTTTTAGATATATACAAGAGTTGTTACATTCTTGTACAGCCACTAGTACGCGTAGCGTTTCGGGCAGGTCCCTGGAATACGATCCCCGCCGCGAATAATAATAATAATAATAATAATAATTTTTATTTAGGTAAGGTACATACATAAAGAGATTTTACAAAGTTTGTTGGCTTTATAGATAGAGCTAGTACATACAATGCCTAAAGCCACTATTTGGAATCGTTGTTACAACCAAGTAAACATTTTACTGTTGAGTTAAACAGAGGCTACAGTTAAGGATTTGCGCCCAGTAAATCCTCCCCGGCCAGGATACGAACCCATGACAAAGCGCTCACGGAACGCCAGGCGAGTGTCTTACCACTGCACCACGTAGACTGAGAATTAAGAAATATGTGTGAAGCAAAATAAAGACGTCAGACTGAAGGTTAGTTCCACTGTCTTACTCTACTCACCTCCAACCTCTGGAGGCTGGGACGTTACCACACCTCTTTAATCAGATGAACAAATCCCCAAGGGCCGTGACGAGGATTCGAACCTGCGTCCGAGAGCATCCCAGACGCTGCCTTTGTTCATTTCATGCATCACGCAATTGTGATTTCTGTGTGCTCTTTAATCAGCTTGTTCTCACCAGCGTCCCCAACGGCAGGAAACTGTCGTACTAAAGTCTCCCCTTATCCTAACCTACCAGAGGACCCAAAACAGAAAACGGAGATTGTCAGTTAATCCCGCGAGCCGCTACCATTTTCTAGTAAGACGATTTTTTGGCTTTATGTGGAGTACGTCAAAATACGACGCTCTATTAGGACGACGGCTTTTGTTAATCGTATAGGATATATAATCAGGATTTCCTTAATCCTGACTCTGGCAGGGCTAGACACTTGGATTAAGACGCTTGGATTAAGATGCTTGGATTAGGACGCTTGGATTAAGACGTTTGGATTAAGACGCTTGGATTAAGACCTTTGGATTAAGACGCTTGGATTAAGACCTTTGGATTAAGGCGCTTGGATTAAGACGCTTGGATTAAGACGCTTGGATTAAGACACTTGGATTAAGACCCTTGGATTAAGACGCTTGCATTAAGACGCTTGGATTAAGACCCTTGGATTAAGACCCTTGGATTAAGATGCTTGGATTAAGACGCTTGGATTAAGACGCTTGCATTAAGACGCTTGGATTAAGACGCTTGGATTAAGACGCTTGGATTAAGATGCTTGGATTAAGACGCTTGGATTAGGATGCTTGGATTAAGACGCTTGGATTAAGACGCTTGGATTAAGACCCTTGGATTAAGACCCTTGGATTAAGACCCTTGGATTAAGATGCTTGGATTAAGACGCTTGGATTAAGACGCTTGGATTAAGACCCTTGGATTAAGACGCTTGGATTAAGACGCTTGGATTAAGACCCTTGGATTAAGACGCTTGGATTAAGACGCTTGGATTAAGACGCTTGGATTAAGACGCTTGGATTAAGACCCTTGGATTAAGACCCTTGGATTAAGACGCTTGGATTAAGACGCTTGGATTAAGACGCTTGGATTAAGACGCTTGGATTAAGACGCTTGGATTAAGACGCTTGGATTAAGACGCTTGGATTAAGACGCTTGGATTAAGACGCTTGGATTAAGACGCTTGGATTAAGACGCTTGGATTAAGACGCTTGGATTAAGACGCTTGGATTAAGACCCTTGGATTAAGATGGATTAAGACGCTTGGATTAAGACGCTTGGCTTGGATTAAGACCCTTGGATTAAGACGCTTGGATTAAGACGCTTGGATTAAGACCCTTGGATTAAGACGCTTGGATTAAGACGCTTGGACGCTTGGATTAAGACGCTTGGATTAAGACGCTTGGATTAAGACGCTTGGATTAAGACGCTTGGATTAAGACGCTTGGATTAAGACCCTTGGATTAAGACGCTTGGATTAAGACCCTTGGATTAAGACGCTTGCATTAAGACGCTTGGATTAAGACGCTTGGATTAAGACGCTTGGATTAAGACGCTTGGATTAAGACGCTTGGATTAAGACGCTTGGATTAAGACGCTTGGATTAAGACGCTTGGATTAAGACGCTTGGATTAAGACGCTTGGATTAAGACGCTTGGATTAAGACGCTTGGATTAAGACGCTTGGATTAAGACGCTTGGATTAAGACGCTTGGATTAAGACGCTTGGATTAAGACCCTTGGATTAAGACCCTTGGATTAAGACGCTTGCATTAAGACGCTTGGATTAAGACGCTTGGATTAAGACGCTTGGATTAAGACGCTTGGATTAAGACGCTTGGATTAAGACGCTTGGATTAAGACGCTTGGATTAAGACGCTTGGATTAAGACGCTTGGATTAAGACGCTTGGATTAAGACGCTTGGATTAAGACGCTTGGATTAAGACGCTTGGATTAAGACGCTTGGATTAAGACGCTTGGATTAAGACGCTTGGATTAAGACTTGGATTAAGCTTGGATTAAGACGCTTGGATTAAGACGCTTGGATTAAGACGCTTGGATTAAGACGCTTGGATTAAGACCCATGGATTAAGACGCTTGGATTAAGACCCTTGGATTAAGACGCTTGGATTAAGACGCTTGGATTAAGACGCTTGGATTAAGACGCTTGGATTAAGACGCTTGCATTAAGACGCTTGGATTAAGACGCTTGGATTAAGACGCTTGGATTAAGACCCTTGGATTAAGACCCTTGGATTAAGATGCTTGGATTAAGACGCTTGGATTAAGATGCTTGGATTAAGACGCTTGGATTAAGACGCTTGGATTAAGACGCTTGGATTAAGACCCTTGGATTAAGACGCTTGGATTAAGAAACTTGGATTAAGACCCTTGGATTAAGATGCTTGGATTAAGACGCTTGCATTAAGACGCTTGGATTAAGACGCTTGGATTAAGACGCTTGGATTAAGACGCTTGGATTAAGACGCTTGGATTAAGACCCTTGGATTAAGACGCTTGGATTAAGAAACTTGGATTAAGACCCTTGGATTAAGATGCTTGGATTAAGACCCTTGGATTAAGACCCTTGGATTAAGACGCTTGCATTAAGACGCTTGGATTAAGACGCTTGGATTAAGATGCTTGGATTAAGACCCTTGGATTAAGATGCTTGGATTAAGACCCTTGGATTAAGACCCTTGGATTAAGACGCTTGGATTAAGACCCTTGGATTAAGACGCTTGGATTAAGACGCTTGGATTAAGACGCTTGGATTAAGACGCTTGGATTAAGACGCTAGGGACGCTAGACGTCCCTCTTGCACCTGATGGCTCGCTTCTCCTAGCAGTAAGCAGTTACCTGGGACGAGGGTTCTATCCTCCGGTAGGTGAGTTATGAGCCAGTAGGAGCACATTGTAACTAACTCACTTCATGGCCCCGAAAATGAGAAGATATTCTAGAATGACCTGATCCTAATCCCACAAAATTGGTTTTGTTGTTGTTTAAGATTCAGCTACTGGGAACAAAAGGTTCCAAGTAGCACGGGCTATGGTGAGCCCGTAGTGGACTTACCTGGCACAGGTGTGGGGCTGTAACTTTGGTTTTGTTGAAATAGTGAATATATATATACACTATATTAATTGTAGCTATACTGATTCACTCATTCACTTGCTCGATTTTACGGTTAAATACGTCATATGATGCTAATAATATTAGGTTCAACGGTGAGCTATTTGAATGCAGGATAAAAAAAACTATTATTACTAGCATAACGTAACAAGAGGAAATAATGAGTAGAGTAAAACATTTCAAGAATAACTAAAAATAGTGTCCCCCTAATCCTTCTAATTTCTGTTTTCTCTCGTGAATTAAAATGACTAAAGAAAACGAGTATATTTCAAGGGGGGTCTCTAGTTGAAGTGAAAAAATTAAATTCCAACAGTGCCGGAGTAACCACTAACTTTCTTTGAATATTTTATTGCTTAAGCGTTCCTTCTCAGTATTAAGGATTAAGATATAGAAAGTGCAAGATCATAGCTCATTAAAAGAACCAAACGCAATTCTAGCAGATCCAACTAAGACAAAATTCCAAAATTGACATGAGGTTATCTTGAAGTTATCCTGAGATGATTTCAAGGCTTAGTGTCCCCGCGGCCCGGTCCTCGGCCTTCTTCTACAAGGGCCATATCTTTTACCTGAATTTACCCGAGGGCCACTATCTCTAGTGGCCTCGACGAAAACAGGAAGCCGGCAACTTGTCAAATGTCCCCTCCATTTGTCCTGATATCATCGAGCAGGATTATGAAATTCAGCAGTGTTTTGGTATGTACGGTTTCGGCGGGTAGGCGGTTCCACGGGTTTAATAATACGTCATTATGTCGGGAGGACAGGAAGCCAGGTTATATATATATATATATATATATATATATATATATATATATATATATATATATATATATATATATATATATATATATATATATATATATATATATATAGAGTACAGGTTAGGCTTATAACCCCCCTCCCCCCACCACCGACCAGGATGTAACCCCAACTCCTGGGCACCTATTTACTGCTAGGTGGACAGCGGCATAAGGTGAAAGGACACGCGCCAAACCGTTTCTGTCCCGCCCGGGATTCGAACCCGGAATTCTGGATTGTGAGTCTAGAAGGAAGCCGACTGTGCTACCCGGGACCCCCTGCTCCTTGTTTGTGTTACATCCGGCCTACACTGGAGGCCTGGTCGAGGACAGGGCCGCGGGGACGCTAAGCCCCGAAACCATCTCAAGGTAACGTTAAGGACTCTTCGAAGACGTATATCTGGATCGGGTTCGTTCTCGACTCACAAGCCAGAATTCCGGGTTCGAGTCCTGGGCGAAAGAGAAACGGTTGCGCGCGTTTATTATCACCTTATGCTCCTGTTCACCTAGCAGTAAATAGGTAGCCAGGAGTTGGTCAGCTTGTTATGGGGTTGTACCCGTGGGGGGGGGGTCAGTAGTTTGATCTAATTAACATATATATAATGAATTAATTAATTATATACATGCCTAATGAACATGTATATATACACTGGCTGCCTGTCCCCCGACATGATAAAGTATATCTATTATAAATCCAGTTGGAACAAACTCTCAGGAAAATGGGGGGAGACCTTTGACAAGTCGTCGGCTTCCTGTCCCGGTCGAGACTGCTTGAGAAATGGTTGCAAGTAGAAATTCAATGTGCTGTTCACCACCCATGTTGTTCACCACATACATCATGGACCACATGTTCACCACCCATGTTGTTCACCACATACATCATGGACCACATGTTCACCACCCATGTTGTTCACCACATACATCATGGACCACATGTTCACCACCCATGTTGTTCACCACATACATCACGGACCACATGTTCACCACTCATGTTGTTCACCACATACATCACGGACCACATGTTCACCACTCATGTTGTTCACCACATACATCATGGACCACATGTTCACCACCCATGTTGTTCACCACATACATCATGGACCACATGTTCACCACCCATGTTGTTCACCACATACATCATGGACCACATGTTCACCACCCATGTTGTTCACCACATACATCATGGACCACATGTTCACCACCCATGTTGTTCACCACATACATCATGGACCATATGTTCACCACCCATGTTGTTCACCACATACATCACGGACCACATGTTCACCACCCATGTTGTTCACCACATACATCACGGACCACATGTTCACCACCCATGTTGTTCACCACATACATCACGGACCACATGTTCACCACTCATGTTGTTCACCACATACATCATGGACCACATGTTCACCACCCATGTTGTTCACCACATACATCATGGACCACATGTTCACCACCCATGTTGTTCACCACATACATCATGGACCACATGTTCACCACCCATGTTGTTCACCACATACATCATGGACCACATGTTCACCACCCATGTTGTTCACCACATACATCACGGACCACATGTTCACCACTCATGTTGTTCACCACATTCATCATGGACCACATGTTCACCACCCATGTTGTTCACCACATACATCATGGACCACATGTTCACCACCCATGTTGTTCACCACATACATCACGGACCACATGTTCACCACTCATGTTGTTCACCACATACATCATGGACCACATGTTCACCACCCATGTTGTTCACCACATACATCATGGACCACATGTTCACCACCCATGTTGTTCACCACATACATCACGGACCACATGTTCACCACTCATGTTGTTCACCACATACATCATGGACCACATGTTCACCACCCATGTTGTTCACCACATACATCACGGACCACATGTTCACCACCCATGTTGTTCACCACATACATCATGGACCACATGTTCACCACCCATGTTGTTCACCACATACATCACGGACCACATGTTCACCACTCATGTTGTTCACCACATACATCATGGACCACATGTTCACCACCCATGTTGTTCACCACATACATCATGGACCACATGTTCACCACCCATGTTGTTCACCACATACAACATGGACCACATGGTGACCGCATATGTCCACTACACATATGTGCTCCAAGGTGCCCAGAGATGTTCTCAACTCACATTGATCGACACATTTATCGCAGCGAGACTAAATATTCCTTTTAGACCTGTTTTTGTCACGGCCACAGTTACAGGTCATGGCCACAGTTACAGGTCACGGCCACAGTTACAGGTCACGGCCACAGTTACAGGTCATGGCCACAGTTACAGGTCACGGCCACAGTTACAGGTCACGGCCACAGTTACAGGTCATGGCCACAGTTACAGGTCACGGCCACAGTTACAGGTCATGGCCACAGTTACAGGTCACGGCCACAGTTACAGGTCACGGCCACAGTTACAGGTCATGGCTACAGTTACAGGTCACGGCCACAGTTACAGGTCACGGCCACAGTTACAGGTCATGGCCACAGTTACAGGTCACGGCCACAGTTACAGGTCACGGCCACAGTTACAGGTCACGGCCACAGTTACAGGTCACGGCCGCAGTTACAGGTCACGGCCACAGTTACAGGTCACGGCCACAGTTACAGGTCACGGCCACAGTTACAGGTCACGGCCACAGTTACAGGTCATGGCCACAGTTACAGGTCACGGCCGCAGTTACAGGTCACGGCCACAGTTACAGGTCACGGCCACAGTTACAGGTCATGGCCACAGTTACAGGTCACGGCCACAGTTACAGGTCACGGCCACAGTTACAGGTCACGGCCACAGTTACAGGTCACGGCCACAGTTACAGGTCACGGCCACAGTTACAGGTCACGGCCACAGTTACAGGTCACGGCCACAGTTACAGGTCACGGCCACAGTTACAGGTCACGGCCACAGTTACAGGTCACGGCCACAGTTACAGGTCACGGCCACAGTTACAGGTCATGGCCACAGTTACAGGTCACGGCCGCAGTTACAGGTCACGGCCACAGTTACAGGTCATGGCCACAGTTACAGGTCACGGCCACAGTTACAGGTCATGGCCACAGTTACAGGTCACGGCCACAGTTACAGGTCACGGCCACAGTTACAGGTCACGGCCACAGTTACAGGTCACGGCCACAGTTACAGGTCACGGCCACAGTTACAGGTCATGGCCACAGTTACAGGTCACGGCCGCAGTTACAGGTCACGGCCACAGTTACAGGTCATGGCCACAGTTACAGGTCACGGCCACAATTACAGGTCACGGCCACAGTTACAGGTCATGGCCGCAGTTACAGGTCACGGCCACAGTTACAGGTCACGGCCGCAGTTACAGGTCACGGCCGCAGTTACAGGTCACGGCCACAGTTACAGGTCACGGCCACAGTTACAGGTCACGGCCACAGTTACAGGTCACGGCCACAGTTACAGGTCACGGCCACAGTTACAGGTCATGGCCCCAAGTACAGGTTACAAAAGACTGTACTTGTCACTCACACTTACAATATTCACACTTAAGTCAATAAATACTTTAAACTGTATTAATCAGAACGTCAAAATACCGGTGCTACAGTGACGTTCAAAGCACTGTAATATAGACGATCTTTCAGACGAACGACCTCCCCATCCGTCAGGTGGAAACGCCAAGACACGTTCAAATTCAAATTCAAATTCAAAATTCAAATTTTTATTCAGTTATAAGTACATACATTGTACTCGTTCATGTACTCATTGTACTCAATACATTGTCCAGATTCACGTCCGGTTGGGGTGTACAAACCGTCTGAAATTTGACGTTTTGGGACATAATTTAGATTTGCCACAACGTTAAAAATGCAACTGTTTTGCCTAACCAGGAACGTACGAAAAAAAGCCGATGGAAACGTCGCTATTGCGGCGCTTTAATGACTTGTAATACGTATCATTATTAACAGATTGAGCAATTCAGTGATAAAAATGTAGCGCATTAAGTGGGAGGACAAGTTTCAGTCAAACAGGAGATGATTATGTAATAACAGAATACATATAAGGTTATGTAAGACGCAATATAACGAAACGCAATCAATGACAACGTAAATTAACGCTCAATCAACGCGATTAACTACAACAATGACGTAGTTAGTGGTAATTATAACTACTAATTCAATGACTTACCATTGGGAGAGGATTTCTTAAAGACCTTGATGGCTTCCGTCATGATAACGACTAACTATATATAGCTGCCTCCTTGTTCGACTGTTGCTTGTTCGATCGTTGCTTGTTCGCCCGTTGCTTGTTCGCCCGTTGCTTGTTGGACCGTTGCTTGTTCGATCGTTGCTTGTTCGCCCGTTGCTTGTTCGACCGTTGGATGTTCGCCCGTTGCTTGTTCGACCGTTGCTTGTTCGACCGTTGCTTGTTCGCCCATTGGATGTTCACCCGTTGCTTGTTGGACCGTTGCTTGTTCGCCCGTTGCTTGCGCGCGTGCGCAAGTGTGTGTGTGTGTTCGTGTGTGAGGACATACTAAGCTGAAGCCAATACCGCCCATGGCTTTATACCTGGTCAAGAGGACGTCATCTTGTTAGCGAAGTCTGGGGCGGGGATAGAGGCTAGGGGGAGTATACAGTATACATACCAGGGGGGGGGGGAGTGAGGTATACATACCATGGGGGGAGAGTGAGGTATACATACGCTCCAGGGTACAAACAAATGATTTTCTTTCATCTGATGGATCTGTCCACCTAGAAGTTAATAGGTACATAGGAGTTAGACAATTGCTATAGCCTTGCATCCTGCCTGTGTGTGTGTGTGTGTGTGTGTGTGTGTGTGTGTGTGTGTGTGTGTGTGTGTGTGTGTGTGTGTGTGTGTGTGTGTGTGTGTGTGTGTGTGAGAGAGAGAGAGAAATGTGTAATAGATATGATAGAAAAATCTAGTGTACTGACACCCCTGGTTAAAAAGGCGGGGTCCAAGAGCTAAGAGCTCGATTCTTCAGGAATAAAGAGTTAATACACATTATGGGAACACTAAAGGCAGTAGGGGTGAATGGAATGCAACTATCAGGGGGAAAGCGGCAAGCCATTACGACTATATAGCACTGGGAAGGGGTCAGGATTTGGGATGGGACGGGGGGAAAGGAATGGAGCCCAACCACTTGTAGACGGTCGGGGATTGAACGCCGACCTGCAGGAAGCGAGATCGTCGCTCTACCGTCCAGCCTTTGCGAGTAGGCTAAACGACATCAGACTTCGTTTTGTCGCCGGAAGATGGCAGCAGTTTTGGTGGCCTTAATAACCCTCCAGAGGTTGATAGACCTTAAGTCCAACACCAAACTTGCTGGTTGGTCATTAAGGTATTGTGGTGGCCTTAATAACCCTCCAGAGATTGATAGACCTTTAGTCCAACACCAAACTTGCTGATTGGTCAGTAAGGTATTGTGGTGGCCTTAATAACCCTCCAGAGATTGATAGACCTTAAGTCCAACACCAAACTTACTGGTTGGTGAGATTTGCATAACTAAGTGAAGAAGTCCACAGCGAGCTACTGCTGAGAGGTGCCACTTGAAGGGCCTCTCCTTCAGGTTCACTACTGACGCAGGTAACATACTGTTTTGTGTTGGACCAGATCTATGAACCTCCTGAGGGTGGGTTCAGGACCTCACTCTAGCCTCGTAGGGGGGCCTCGTAGCCTGGTGGATAGCGCGCAGGACTCGTAATTCTGTGGCGTGGGTTCGATTCCCGCACGAGGCAGAAACAAATGGGCAAAGCTTCTTTCACCCTGAATGCCCCTGTTACCTAGCAGTAAATAGGTACCTGGGTGTTAGTCAGCTGTCACGGGCTGCTTCCTGGGGGTGGAGGCCTGGTCGAGGACCGGGCCGCGGGGACACTAAAGCCCCGAAATCATCTCAAGAAGAAGATAGCCTACTGGCCAAGTAGCAACGATTCCTTTCTCAAGTCGATTGCGACTTGATCGACTTGAGAATGGTCCAGGACGGACCGAAACGTCGTCGTCGTCCCTTCACCTTCTAGTGTGTGGTCTGGTCAACATTCTTCAGCTACAATCGACTTGAGAATGGTCCAGGACGGACCGAAACGTCGTCGTCGTCCCTTCACCTTCTAGTGTGTGGTCTGGTCAACATTCTTCAGCTACAATCGACTTGAGAATGGTCCAGGACGGACCGAAACGTCGTCGTCGTCCCTTCACCTTCTAGTGTGTGGTCTGGTCAACATTCTTCAGCTACAATCGACTTGAGAATGGTCCAGGACGGACCGAAACGTCGTCGTCGTCCCTTCACCTTCTAGTGTGTGGTCTGGTCAACATTCTTCAGCTACAATCGACTTGAGAATGGTCCAGGACGGACCGAAACGTCGTCGTCGTCCCTTCACCTTCTAGTGTGTGGTCTGGTCAACATTCTTCAGCTACAATCGACTTGAGAATGGTCCAGGACGGACCGAAACGTCGTCGTCGTCCCTTCACCTTCTAGTGTGTGGTCTGGTCAACATTCTTCAGC